CCGTCTCCCAGGTAGCTTCCTCAACAGAATGGTTCTTCCACAACACCTTCACCAAACTAACCGTTTTGTTCCTTAGAACCTTATCTTTCCAATCCAAAATCGTGATTGGTTCCTCATCATAAGTCAAGTCCGGATTAACCTCTAGCGGTTGAGGAGGGATCACATGAGAAGGATCAAAAATATAATGTCGAAGCATAGAGACGTGAAACACATTATGGACCTTAAATAACTCCGGAGGCAGCTCCAACCGGTAGGCAACTTCACCAACTCTTTCAATGATCACATAAGGTCCAATGTATCTCGGACTTAGCGTTCCTCTTTTCCCAAATCGTACCACACCTCTCCAAGGTGACAATTTCAAAAACACCCAATCACCCACATTATATACTCGATCAGTAGTATGCCGATCCGCTAAACTCTTCTGTCGATCCTGGGCTGCTTTCAGGTTTGACTTAATTACCTGAACATTTTGAGTTGTCTCATCTACAATCTTTGGGCCTTCTAATACTCTTTCACCAACCTTAGACCAACATAATGGCGTTCGACACGCCCTACCATAAAGTGCCTCAAATGGTGACATACCAATGCTCGAGTGAAAACTGTTATAATAAGCAAACTCCATCAAGTCCAGACGATCATGCCAGGAATCACCAAATTGTAATACTGAAGATCTCAACATATCTTCCAACGTCTGAATAGTCCTCTCTGATTGCCCATCAGTTTGAGGATGATAAGCAGTGCTATACAGTAATTATGTACCCAGAGCTTCCTGAAAAGCCACCCAGAATTTAGAAGTAAATCTCGGGTCTCGATCAGAGATAATATTTACTGGAACTCCATGATACCTCACAATCTTTGTGATGAACAACTTAGCTAATTTATTCAAAGGATACTTTTCTCCCACTGAAATGGAGTGTGCTGGCTTGGTAAGCCGATCTACAACCACCCAAACGCTATCAAATCCATTCTGTGTACGTGGAAGCTTATACACAGAATCCATAGTGATATTTTCCCATTTCCACAGAGGAACGGGAAGTGGCCGCATCCGACCAAAATGTTTCTTTCTTTCTGCCTTCACTTGCTGGCAAATAATACATCTACTTACATACTCAGCAATTTCTCTTTTCATACCAGGCCAATAATAAAATGGTCGAATGGTATGATACATTTTAGTTCCTCCCGGGTGCATCGCATAAGCTGAACAATGAGCTTCATCCAAAATTTCCTTCCTCACTTTTCTAGGCGTCAAGTAGACAATCAACTAAAATCAGCCTAACTTGAAAATTAGCCAATAAAACTTCTTCTTAACTTTTACCTTAAGCTTCATCCCAGTAGGTCTCAAATCCGCAAGAAGGAAAACATAACAAGTATACAAAGCATTAATTCTTACTGGAGCTTTCCTACCAAGTGCTTTGGTCGCAAAAATTTCAAGATCACCCTGGTCGTGCAATCATAATCACTAAGCAACCCCATCTTCGTTGCCTAAGATCAGATTCATCTGAGTAAACAGATATTGGAGACTCTCATGATTCGTAGAAATCTTACACTTTTCTTCATAAAGATAATGTCTCCTAATCTTCCCAGCAAAGATGATAGTTGTTAATTCCAAATCACGAGTAGAGTAATTTATCTCATGAGGTTTCCATTTGTCGCGGAGCATAGACAATTACCTTAACACTTGCACTTTAACACTTCCACTTTAACACATCCAACACCACTCAAAGAAGCATCATTAAAACCTTCAACAAACCATCTATAACACCCTGCTAAGCCAAGAAAATTCCAAACTTCAGCCACGGTTCGCGATTGTTCCAAATTCTCAATCGCTGCTACCTTTTAAAATTTCGCTTGAATACCTTAAGCATATATAATGCATTTTATAATTGTTGTTGATTCATACAACATTGACATTTGCTAAACTTAGCATACAATCAACGTTCCTTCAATCTTTGTAACATCAACTTAAAATATCTAACATGCTCTGCTCTCGGCTCAGAGTATCCCAGAGTATCGTCAATGAAAACAATAACGAACCTATCAAGATATTCTTGGAAAACTTCATCCATCAACTTATAAAACAGCAGGAGAATCCGTCAATTCGAATAGCATCACGAAAACTCATAATAACCGTAACGAGTCCTGAACACAATCGTAGGAACGTTATCATTAACTCTTCAATCGGTAACAACCAGACCTTAAGTCAATCTTAGGAAATACGCAGACCTCTAAGTTGATCAATAAATCATCAATACGCAATAATGGATAACGGTTCTTGATCATTACCCGATTCAATTACTTATAATTAAAACATAGCCTTAATGTCCATTTCTTCCTCACCAATAAACTGGTGTTCTCCCAACGTGATGTACTTTGAATAAAACCTTTATCAACTAATTCATGTAATCGAATTTCCAATTCTCTTAACTCATCATAAACCAATCTCTAACATAAAATTGGTATCTGGATACAAATCAACATTAAACTCTATATCTCCGCCCGACGGCAATCCAGGTAATTCCTCAGGGAAAACATCGAGAAAATGTCTAACAGGATAAGATTCACTGGCATAACTACTTCTTCCACCATCACTGGACACCCTGAATGTGTAATATTATCATCTTGTTCTTCATTAGAAATACATAAATACGCCTCGATCGTGCTCCAACATTACCCTCTTTGGCAACATCGTCCATGATAAGAAATATATCAGCCGGAGTCAGCTAGAATGACCTGTACGGCTTACTCCTCAATTTTCCAAATAATATGTTCGCCGGATCCACCTTTTGTTGCCTGTACGGCTGGACTTATAACTCATCAATTATCCTTGTACCCATCGCCAATCTGACCAAACTACTAAGTCCATAACCCTGCTGGATCGATACTGTGGTGTCAGGGAAGACTGCTGGGTAACAACTGATTCTAAGGACCATTCATACCTCTATGTCTCATCCAACCACATAAACACATTCACTGATTCCCACACTCTCCAAAGTGTCTAATATTGTACATACGGTACAAAGGTACATTTCTCTTATTCAAATCACCTTATCTCTGAGATCTGGGCTCACCAATAAATCTATCACTTCGCCTCTGACCAGTGGCATTAAAATCTCAGCTGGAAGAATTAGTTCTAACTTCACTTCTTTTGAAGCTCTGAGTCTTTCGATGTCCTTGATATGACGATTCTTTAAACTTATCGTCTTTCCTCTAATCACCATTTTTTTCTTATTCTTCTTTACTCACGCTGATCATGTTCTCAGAGTCCTCAACCCTCAACAACATCTCGTAAACTCTTGATAGACAGTACAATAGATAGTGGTCGCCAAAGAACGTCACTTCTTCTTATTATCCAGCCTAAAACAACATAACACTTCAACCAACTTAGCAACAATATCCAAATGGAAACGAGGCAAGTCTAAAAACTTTCTATAATACTCATTTGCCGTCATCTTCCTTGTTTCACCTTTGCAAACTCTTGCATACTACCATCATAATATACCGGAGGAATAAATCTTTTCTTTAACAATTCCTTAAATAATTCTCAATCAGCTGTTTCCTCTGGTGACAACGAATAATACTCCTGTTTCCACCAGGATACAAATTCATAACCCACAATCAGGTAGTCGTCTCGACCCACCTGTCAGAAGGAAGATTCGTTTTACTTGCATAACCCAAAACGTCTTTTCCAAGTGAGTAAGCCAACACTCTGCTCCCTCAGGTTCATAATTTCCATAAAGTGATTCAAATTCAACTTATAACCAGTCTCAAAGGGTTTCTTAGATAATAGACTGGATTATATTAGCAATAGTTTCCCCCCCTAAGCTACTATATCCGGGAAACTAAACTCATCCCAACTACGTGGCTCGCTACGAGGCGGTAAAGTTCTGACAGAAGACACAAGGAAATTCTAAAGATGTCCAAGATTGAAACCTAGGCTCTGATACCAACTGACACACCCCGTCCCGAAGGAGGGCATGCTGGCCGTCACATGAGAGTGACGTAACCATTTACACAGTTCGGAAGCTTTTAAAATACAATTATTAAAATGGAAACCCTCGAGGGTGAGTCCTACTTTTGTGAATTCTGTCAGAATACCGTTGGATTCCTCGTGGCCACCAAAACTCTGCTATCAAGAACCTGGAGGGGCGAAAAACAAAATTGAGTGGGTCAGTAAAACCAAGCTTTTCAAAAACATTTCGCCAAAAATAATTCTAACCCCTCACTGTAAAACCTGTATACTTTTCCCAGAAAATAGTATAATAACATAATACTTTTCATAAATCTCGAATCATCAATTTTTCTTTAAAACTCGAAAAGTATGCCATGTTTTAATTTCGAAAACAAAATAAATGATGCATCAATGTAACAGGTGAAAAGTTGAATTAACCGGAGACCCTGCAGTTGGTCCTGTACGGTTAATTCTATAGCTCAACATCCAATCCAACCGGAGTCACCTCGATGACCTGTACGGCACTACACTGCAGATAAGTCGGAACTACCTGAAGTAGTCTGTACGACATGGATGGTGTAATAATACGCTCTAGTGCTTCTCTCATCAATCATCTGTGCACATAATCTAAGGTCACCCACTAGTCGGAATCACATCTAGTAATCTATACGACTAGCATGTCGGAACCCTCACTTGGTCTGTACGACATCCACCTACTTGGATCCAAGACGAGCGTGCGGTGTGGTGAATAATATAAGCACTAACACCATGATTGCAGGTTATGAGCTATCCACAATATACACATCAACAATGCACATGAATAATATAAAACTCACCTGATACTTACCTGTGCGTCCACAGCACCAATTCACATATATATATACATCATACATCAATTCATGCTTTTCATATACTTCTATGCATGGCATTTCAAATCATACTTTTCATATAAATCTATCCATGGCATTTTAAATCATACTTTCATTTAAATTCAATTTCTGGGAAAACTCAATAGTATATAGGTAATACGAAAACAAAACTGCCCACTCACCTGGAGTTCGCCCTACAACTCCCTAGCACAACTCATCAAGGCGTCATGACGATCGCCGCCTAGAACAATAATCAAATCCAACCTCAGAAATCATATCGATAGAATATAACTTATATAAAATACGTCACTACATAGATTGATCCGAAAGATCTGCAACTCAGATTTTAAATCCATAACTTCCAGAGGTCCACAATATATCCCTAGGACAACATCCTGAAATTTCATTACCATCCAACGGTCGGATCTCCGTCAATTTCCAAAACTAAGTGACGGTTAACATTTTATTTTATGAACTTACAACTCCAATTCTGGAAGATCCGTAACTCGGATTCCCAATCCGTAAGTTCCAATAATCCTCAAATATTACGTATTTCAACGTATCAAAGTTTGGTGACGATCCAACGGTCGGATCGTCAATTCCCATTTTCACCTAAAGGCGAAAACTATAAAACGTTATTTAAAGCACCTAACCAATAATCGTAATAACTTTCTCATACGGTGCTCAATTTGGGTATATGAATATACCACAGTGATCTACTCGACGTCACGAACGTCGACATATTTTTAGATTATTTTTTTGATGTTCCACGTGCCCCCACGCGCCAGGACAAGCACGGGGACACGCGCCCCCACGCGCATCATCCCCAACCTTGGTTCGCCGGACTGGTTTTTCCGGCGGCCGGAAAACTGGGGAATTTTCAAATGCTTCGTTCTCCTTCGTTTCTCAACCATTTTCTTCGTATAATATATCAATTTAAAGCCCTCAACATGTAGAATCACAATAGACTAGTTTAAGGCTCTAAAAATCAAGAAATCTCACCGGAAATATCCAAACAAAATCGGCCAAACTTAACCCTCGTGATCCCGACGTCCAAATCCTTCCAACGAAGCACTCCGAGCTTCCTTGGGACCTCACTAAGCTCACTATAAGCTTAGAATTCCCTGAAACACAACATATTACGAGTGCATGAACAGTGACGAAAAATATAGGTTCGGGTTTCACGTGATTTCGAGGGTTTCACTTCCTAAAACTAGTACCAATCGACTTAAAATGACTCAATGATGAAGATGCATACCTTGGTTGCCTCGATCCGTCGAGTTTGGAAGATTTTTGGGTGTGTCCGTACGTATGGGTGTGTGTAGAGAGAGAGTCGGGATGGAGGAGAGAGAGAGCCACGGGATAGAGAGAATGAAAGTGTAAGGGTATAGGTGACCAAAATCAATCCACACCATCCATTCTCTAAATCCCTAACCAAACAAACAATCCAACTTTTCAATATTTTTATCCAACTTAAATGACATTTCCAATAGTTTAGGAAAAATATGAAATATCCAAAACATGTCACACACACACCTTAGTGACGTCAAGGGTATTTCCGTCATTTCACACTCCTGATATGAAAATCTCGGGACGGGCTGTGACACCCACACCCCTTTAGTGTAAAAATATTGTTTGTTAAAAAAGAAAAAGAAAAAAAAAACTGTAGCTTCGTTCAAAAGTTGACTAAGATAATTATAAATTTACTTGCCTTCATGCACATTTTTTGAATCACGACGTGCTACGTGACTTACACGTTTTAAATGTATTTATATGCGTGAATTGACAAAAAAAAAATCAAATATTTGAAGTAAATGAATAATCTTAGATCATGCTATAAAAAAACCCATCGCAAACCAATCAAAGCAGCTAAATTCACATAATAAAATCGGTCTTTCAATTTCCATCTACATTCTATTGAATTTACATTAAGAATAGAGAATAATATTTAATAAACAACTTATTGAATCATATTATTGTTAGCCCATTGTGAAACTAAGCCCAGCCTGTGACAGCCTGTCTTAAATTTTTTTTATTAATTTTAGAAGTGTGAATTTACGAAAATGCCCTAGAGGCAAGGACTTTGACTTTTGCGGATTATCGGTTAGAGTGTCATATGACTTATTCTTTTAGCATATCCTCGTAGTACTCGTCACTACGAACGTATAAGCGAAAGCCGTTTGCAAGTCCGAATTATAACGGTATAGTTACGGACGTTTGAAGTTGGTTATTTAAAGGTAGTTAAATTATTTGAACTCCCACCTTGTGGGAAGACTAACCAATCAGCCTTTAAGCAAAGAGAAAAGGGAACCAATCACATAAAAGGAGGACAAAGCCTCTAGCCAATTAGAAAAAGAAAAAAAAAAGGAAAGCTGGAGCTTTCCTGTGGGTTTTTCTGCTCACAACCACCCATTTTTCAAGGCTGATTTCGGCCAACTCCGGCGGAGTTTTTCGAAGCCACCACCACCATCTTGAAGCTCTCATTCCCTTCTACAAAACTCACCCAAGAACCACCTTGGTTAATCCCTATACGTGGCGGTTCGAGGCCACAAAATCCGATGAAAACCAATGGTGTTTCGACCACCTTTTTCATTTTTTCGGCGAATCGGCAAAGCAATGGCCGACACCACTACTTAGGCTTTGTAGCCCATCATCCCAGGAGAATATCACGACCAGCCTTAGCCCCGTTGGAGCACCGAGGAAGTAGAATCGAAGTTCACCCAAGTATAGGGTTACCGACGGGTTTTAACAAAATTGAAGCTCTTTTCGGCCTATTTGGCCTAGGTCACAAGTATAAATCAATTCCTCATGTTGTTTAGATGAATTTTCATGTTTGGATTGTGTGATTTGGTGGAAAATGAGAAAGTTATAACGATTTAAAATTTGCCCAGTTTATGGCGACCTCTGCCACTTTTGAGGCGTTTTCTGGCCAAATCACGGTGATATAGCCATCGTGTAATATACCAATTTCTTCGTCTCGTCGAGAACTATGATTTTCATTTTTGAATCACTTGTTTTCTTTGAGTATTGACAAAGTTATGGACGTTGAAACATTGCCCAGAAAGTCCGGCGAGTTACCAGTTTTCCTGCGGACAGCCGTCTTTCAGACCATTTTCCGGCCACCGCCGGCCACCATTTGGACTCCAAGCTGGTATAACCTTGTTCTACATTTCTCTAGCTTTGATTTTGCATATTATAGGTTGAATTTGGTTGAGAAACAAGTGAGATATGGAGTTCCAAAGATCGCCAGGAAATCTGCAAAAACTGCAGAATCAGGCAAAGTCCCATTAAGGTCCACCACTTGATTACAATAGTAATGAACGATCCGACCGTTTGATCGTCACCAAACTTTAATACATTATAGTAAGTAATATTTAAGGACCATAGAAACTTACAAATTAGGAATCCGAAGGACGGATCTTCCCGAATCGGATGTGTAAGTTTATAAAATAAATGTTAACCGTCACTTGGTTTTGGGCAATTGACGGAGATCCGACCGTTGGATCGCAATGAAATTTTAGTATGTTATTCTAGAACCATAGTGTGGATATTTGGAATTATGGATCTTCTAGATCGAGTTATACAGGGTTGTAGACCCTACCGTCGATCTTTGATCGAAGATTGACTTATGGCCAAAGGGTCTCAAACTATTTTAGAATGTCCTTGAGGATTTGTTTTATGTGAATTACGTATTCTATTGATGAGGATTTTGAGATGTGGTTGATAATTTGCCGCAGGCGCCGATCGCTCGGGACGTCCCGATGGTTGTGCTAGGAAGTTGTAGCACGGACTCCAAGTGAGTGGATCTTTCCTTGCTCATCTTATGTTTCTTGATTGATAATTCTATAAATGCTTTTAAATAAAGCTGAGAAACTTATGCCATGACATATATATATATATATATATATTTATATGTTATAAAATACTATGAGATGGTTGAGTTAGATTTCATCGTGATCTATCCATATGCGTATTACTATAAATGATTATTGTGAACTACGAATGGTTTGATCCCTGTTTAGGGTACGTAGGTAGTATAACGAGACGTTAGATGCAACCATATAAGAAATGAGATTAAATAATCGTGACCATAGTCTTGTTTAAGGAATCGAGCAAGGTGTGTGGGCTTTTGGTTTTAAGTATATATGTATAGGCTTGATGTTTTCCTAGAAAATGCAATAAAATGATTTATGCTCTAAAAATGCCATGCCTATTAAATAATGCTTAAACGATGAGATGAATTGTTTGCATATATATATAATTGGGTGCTGTGAATGCTCTGAAGTGCAAAGGTGAATGTTGGACATTCAGGTAAGTTCAGGTAAGTTCAAGTAAGTATACGGTATTAGTTGAATTGATGGGGTTATAATATGACTACATTTACGCTTTTAGCAACTCCGACACTGTCGTACAGGATGCTATAGTAGGAAACTCCGGCATTGTCGTACAGGTTGCCTATGAGTCGTACATGTTGTATTAGATGCATTTAGAGCTCATAAACCTGCACCCTGAGTGATTGTGATTTAGCCAGAGATATGACACATGCCTGTATATAATGTCACCTCCCGCACCCTATGCTCACATTGGATCCAATTTAGGTGCACAGTCTTGTCATACAGACCACCATAGGTGGTTCCGACTTATAGGTGACTAGCGATTTATGGCATGGCTATCTTGATGTGCGTAGCATTGAGCATAACTATATTACACCCAATCTTGTCATACAGACCTTTTCAGTGGTTCCGACTTGTGTGCAGTGTAGTGCCGTATAGGTCACTAGAGGTGACTCCGACTTATGTGCTAGCAATGATTGATGAGCTATGATTCAGTCGTACAGGTCACTAGAGGTGACTCCGACTTATATGCTAGCCATGATTGATGAAATATGAATATGTCGTATATGTCACTAGAGGTGACTCCGACTTATATGCTAGCCATGATTGATGAGATATGAATATGTCGTATAGGTCACTAGAGGTGACTCCGACTTATACGCTAGCCATGACTGATGAGATACGTGATGAGATACGAATATGTCATATAGGTCACTAGAGGTGACTCTGACTTATATGTTAACCATGATTGATGAAATACGTGATGAGATATGAATACATCGTATAGGTCACTAAAGGTGATTCTGACTTAGGTGCTAACCTATATGTGATGAAATGCTAGCATATATTTATGATGGAATATGTGATGAAATGCTAGCATATATAATGAATATATATGATGAGTTAGCATATGTGGTGAATACGTGGTGAATACGTGATGAGTTAGCAGACGTGATGAATATGCGATAAGTTAGCATATGATTATAAATATGTGAAGCATGACTTGAATTGATATATATATATATATATATATATATTCTAATTCTGGAAATTTTACAGGTGTTGTAGCGAGGGGTTATAGAAATTTATATGGTTTCTATTAAAATTTTAATTACTGGGCCACTCACATTTATCTTGTCTTCACCCTCTAGATCTTCTTAGCTGAGCTTTCTTATCGTTGAGGAATTGTGGCGATTCTTAGTATTGGAGATTATTTCAAGGGTACGATTCTTAATTCACTCTTCTGTACTTGCTTATGCTCTAACATCACGTGTGAAGTGGGTTCGTTCCCACTCACCAGTGCACTCTGGTATTTAGGCACTCTTAGGTTTAAATTTATTCACTATATTTCCACATCATCACACTTTATGGCTTTGTCACCTTCCAGGTGTCGGCCAGCACAGCTCGATTCGGAGTCCTAGTAGGCATTCCGGGTTGGGGTGTGTCACACCATTTCCCTCTTAGTGTAGATAATATTGTTTGTTCAAAAAAAAAAAATAATCATTTGACAACTAATTTAATCACATTATTATGCGCGTGCGAAAGACTTTTTTATAACCGATATTACATGCCTCTTAAGATGTTTTGAACGTGTTTAAAATAGAGAAAATAATATTTAATGAACAACTGATTAAATCACAATATTGCTAGCCTATTTTGAGGTACTAATTGTGACATCCCACATCACCCAGGGGAGTGATCCTTAAATGTATATTCTCATCTCTTCCTAGCATGGGGCCTTTTGGGAGTTCATTGGCTTCGGGTTCCGTAGGAACTCCGAAGTTAAGCAAGAAGAAGGCCAGAGCATTCCCAGGATGGGTGACCCACTGGAAAGTTGCTCGTGAGTTCCTAAAAATAAAACCGTGAGGGAATGGTAAGCCCAAAGTGGACAATATCGTGCTACGGTGGTGGAACGAGCCTAAGATGTGGTGGACTCGGGCCAGGATGTGACAAATGGTATCAGAGCCAATCCCTGGCCGAGAAATGTGCCGACGAGGACGTCGAGCTCCTAAAGGGGGTGGATTGTGACATCCCACATCGCCCAGGGGAGTGATCCTTAAATGTATATTCTCATCCCTACCTAGCACGAGGCCTTTTGGGAGCTCACTGGCTTCGAGTTCCGTAGGAACTCC